GCCCACCCCAGCCCCCCCCACAGGGCTCCCCCGGACCCACCCACAGGGCTCCCCCAGGCCCACCCACAGGGCTCCCCCAGGCCCACCCACAGGGCTCCCCCGGACCCACCCACAGGGCTCCCCCGGGCACACCCCACTTCTTTTATTTTAATCCTCCCCTGAGGACACTTTCCATCGATTTTAGAGAGGGAGGAAGAGAGGGAAGGAAAGGCAGAAACATCCATGTGAGAGACACATCGATGGGTGGCCTCCTGCATGAGCCCTGACCGAGTCCCGGGCCGGGGAGGAGCCTGCAACTGAGGTCCGTGTCCTTGACCAGAATCGAACCCGGGACCCTTCAGTCCGCAGGCCGACGCTCTGTCCACCGAGCCAACCAGCCAGGGCCCCACCCACTTCTCAGTCGTCCCCGCAAATCCACCCTCCGCATTCCAACGCCACCGCCCACGTCACGGCTGTGATTGCTCCCCGGCTCCCCTCTGACTCAGCACCGAGACCACTGAGTGCGCCTCCCACCCTCCCGCCTCCAGCCTTTCCAGGTGAACCTGCAGCTGAGCCAGCCCGGGACCCACACTGACAGCAGCAGCCCCCGGGTCAGCGCCCACCCTGGCGCGGGCACATCCTGACGATGGATGCCCGCCGAGCAGACGGGCGCCAGGCCATGGCATGCACGGGTCCCGGCTCCACAGCAGAGGCCAGAGGCCGCTGGTCTTGGCCACTGTCGGCCTTTCACAGAGAGTGGCTCACACAGGGGCACCCCCAGGGGCAAGGCCACCAGGACCCCAGCAAGCCCATGGGCCCCTCATGAAGGCACGGGCTCAGGGGCATCGCTGAGGTGCCAGGCCCTGGGGACGCCGGGGCCCAGGTGCTGCCCTGCCCCAGGGCTCAAGGCCAGGGACTGACCAGAGGACAAGGGTGCCCAGGACCTGAGGTGCTGCGAGGCTGGGAGTCCCTGCCGTGGGCGAGAACTGGACCCTTAGAAGGTGCTGCTCAGTCCCTGAGAGCTGCCCGGCCAGCGGGGCTCAGTGTTTGAGCATCGACCTATGAACCAGGAGGTCACAGTTCGGTTACCGGTCAGAACACAAGCCCAGGTCCTGGGCTCGACCCGGTGAGGGGCCTGCAAGAGGCAGTCAATCAATGATTCCCTCATCATTGATGTTTCTATCACTCCCTCCCTCACCTTTCCCTTCCTCCCTGAAATCAATAAAAATGTATTTTATAAAATACCCTGAATGCTGAAAATGGTGCTTTGCCCCCCGGGGGTGCAGGTGGGGACAGGCGGGAACATGACCGGCCGGAGGTGACCAGTCAGGAGGGACGGCAGCACCATGGACAGCGGCGCTCGCCTGGCCCGACCCGCTGGCTGGTGCTCCCTTATGTGGCCACACAGGCGGGCGGGGTGGCCGGATGGGGCCAGGTCCCCGAGGCCCCTCTGCATCAGGAGCATCACTGATGAGCCCGGAGCTCACAGCCACCCCCACATCCCGCCCCCAACAAGAGTCCGGCTCCCGGGAAAGCTGGGTCCCGGCCTGTGCTCCTGGCG